AAAAAAAATTCACTACACAAAATAAGCTCACACTTCAGTAAGTTAGTCTGTGCAGTCCAGCTAATGTCTGAAAAAAAGTAGATACTCTAAAAACTTAGAAAAAGAACGAACTGCCAAAGTTCTCGTATAGGACACCATTTTAGTTCAAACAAATTCAGTGCAGTATCTCTTAATACAGAGACTATACTTACAGGTTGTTCCACAAACTGTTTTTTCCTTCCCTTCCAGCAAGTCCCACAGATGAACAGATGCTTGCTCGTACTGCTCATTCAACCTTAAAAAAAAAAAAGTTAATTTCTTACCAAGTCTTTAAATTACCACCATACAAACATATAACTGACAATTATAAAGAAAAGTACTTTACTGTAAGCCTACCTCATGTTCATGTCTCGTTCAGGATAAACTAGCTTGTAAAACTCATCCAGCATTGTCAGCTCCTCCTCTGTCAGTACTGGTACTCCATTTGAACCTTGTTTCAAGTCGTTGCGCACTTCATCATCGCCCAGCTTCTCCAAAATAAACTGTAGCTCTAGTACTGTCTTTAAACGCTTCTGCTCAGCTTCTTCTCGCATCAGTTGCTCCCTGCGAGCTGTCTTTTTTATTGTTTTCTGGATCTGTTTAAAACGAGAAGAAAGTTTAAATTGTTTAAACTTGGATTCTGTAGTGAACTTGGGGAAAAAAAATAGATTTGAAATGTCTTTTACTGAGAAGTAGAGATTGATAAACGGCAGTTCAACACCAACATCCATCTAACGTTACAGCAGAATAACCCGGGAAATTTGAAAAATATCTTTTAAGCAGATTCAAACCCCTGCAAATTAAAACAAACTTTAAAATCAGTGCCACAAACCTTGGATCATCCTGCGTCTTAATATTCTTACTTGCAGTCTGTAATTCATGACTTACGGGTAGTTCAGTCAAGTAACTGCAATTACCACATCTAAAGCTTCAGACATGAACATGTTATTTCTAACAAGCCCAGCTTGCTATTATCTGCTTCCTTTATGAAACACTCTGTAATACTAAGTGGTTTTGTTCTAGATGAAAGTGGCAAAAATGTACAAAATTAGGTACCTTTTCAACAAATATTGGGGCTATTTACAACTTCTGGCTTCCATAACTCAAGGAGGACTTACAGCAATTAGAAAAGGTACAGAGAAAGGCAACTCAACGACTAACAGGACCGAGCAGTTGCCTTATGAGCAGAGCCTAAGTCTTGGGTTCTTCAGTTTGGAGGAGTAAGGGCATCCCAGATTTTTTGTACAGGCCACAAAGGCCAGCAGATAACACAAACAGAGCGGTTATTCACCACATCCCATGATAGTAGGAGGCACTCATTGAAAATACTAGAAGATCAGCTTAAAACAGATAAACAAAAGCACTCTTTGTTTCTTACACACCACAGGAGGGAACTCACAGAATGTTTTGCCATGAAAGGCTGGGGAGATGGACAGTATCAGCAAGTTCAAAAAGCACTTGAACACATTCTTGGACATGAGGTCCACAGACAGACACTAAAGTGAACGGGAATGCATCTACTCTCTAACATTCTCAGCTTAAGGATCACAGAAGCCATAGGGAATGGATGACAGATAATAAGCAGCCTTGTACTCTACATAGTACCTCCTACAACTGCTGTCGTGACAGTGGTCTAAATGCATCACTTATCTGAACCTACAGGACCTTTCTTCCATTCTTACTCTTAATCCAACCATCCAGCATCCAAAATTCAGCTTACTCACTTTGTAACTATACAAAGCTTTAATCTTCTTTTACAAAAAATGTAACTTGTGACAGTAACTTTCTCCCTCTGAAGCATCTAAATTTCTTTTTTAAAACCTTATCTTAAAAATCAACTGTATGAGAACTAACTCCAATCAAGAATAAATGGAACAAAGTTTGAAATCAAAGCGCCTATTTGTTACTCCTGGATTCACTCGCTTCTTTTAGCAGTCAGCTGACAAGGGAAATATTTCAGGACAAACTTTGTCAAAAGAAGAAAGTTCTTCATTACGAACATTCTATAAACATACATAGAACCCTGATGCAAGAAAAGCAAAGAAACAGCTTCACTTAGAGGCCTATACATTTACAACCATATCAAAAGTAGAAAGCAGTTTATAATGTGAGGATGCTGATGCCCTTCAAATTATCACATCAGCTGTTCACACACTAAATATGCTCATTAGACCAGTCTGCTGCACTAACATCGACTACATAATGAATTCTACCAATGTTGCTGCTCTTTCCATAACTCATTAACTAACTGTATTAACTGCATTTAGAATCTTCCAGTCCTGTAGAATGGGTTATGCTTTCAGCTTGCCCCAGAATTAATTCTTCCTTGCAATGGTACCACAGAGGTCTAAAATGTGTCTTTTTGTCTGCAGCTTTTGGCACAAAGAAATAAAGCAAAGCTGTTCACATAAACTAGAACTGTCTAGTGGAGTTTTAGAACTTATTCTTTACTACACTGTTATTTTACATCCTTGATAAAAGGCCAACCCAAAAGATTACCTGGTTTACTAGCATTCAGTTAACTTATCCTTTAGGAAAACAATATTAACCTTGTCCCATACAGCAGTTTTAGACTGTATTTGCAATTCACAAGACAGCAAGAATCTTGAAAAAGGAACTGCAATGCTTTCAGTTGCCGAGACTTGATATCCTATGGTAATATAAAGAAATTAAAACCCTCAGCCACTTGCCAAAGAGAGAAGTAGGCCTGTGAAATCTCCATTTTCTTTTGAGAGAAAGTTACTATTGGCAGTAAGTGGCTGTCTATAATGTTGCATGACAGGCCTCTTCTGCAATCACACCGCTTTCAACAGTTAAGTTTTGTCAGAAAATTACATTATTTTTGTTCCCGTACATTTATGTAGTCCATCAGAAAAATCTTCAGAACAGTCTTCAGAAAACCTGACACAAACTAGTACAAAGTAAAAGAAAGCAGCCAAACATAAAAGAAATCTTAAGCATTTCATCCCTGTAAGTAGAAGCAACTACTGCATCTAGGACTAGTAAAAGAGTTTAAAGCCTAAGTGTCTGGTACTGCAGCCGATAGCCCACATTGCACCGCTTGCTCTTTACTTACGTCTTGGCTAAGAGCCATAAAACTCCTCTGCAGTTCTTTAGCAAATTCCAGATTATTTGTCACTTCCTGGTATTTTGACACTGCATCCTTAAATAAAAAAAAAAAAACACACACACAAAAGTAAACCACCACAAATAAAACAAAATACATACTTCCAACAAAGAAATTCCCATATTATTAGTTCCTGAGGGAGACACGGCAACCCTGAATGGGAGTGCCTGCAACAACCTTAAGTCAAATTTTGATTTTCACTGGCCAAAATATTGAAGAGGCTTGTGTATGTCTTTAGGGCCTCTAATTTCTTAGATAAATATGCTAAAACATACGCATATATATGCTCACGCACATGATAGTTTAATGTTTGGCTTTAGCTACTTTCTGACAAGAACTAACTAGCAGACTGAGGGAATAGGGGAGAAAAGTAATCAGGCAACTCAAGACTACTCAAGAGATAAAGGTTTGAGAATTAACATCTTGTTATCTTGAGTCAGAGCAAAAATCAAAATGCTATACAGAGCAACATTCCCTCCTCCAGAAATCTGTATTATTTGCTATTGTCTTAAATCTAACACTCTGCTCTGCATCAAAGCAATCCAAACTCTTTAACCCACTTCGCAGTACTGAAAATTAGAGAGTCAACTCAGGGGGAAAAAAAAAAAAACCAAACAACAGCTGAGACACACTCTGCTGTGACTAAATTAATAATGGAACCTTCTTGGTAAGAACTATTGAGCCAAAGAAAAGGTAAGGTCCTACACTTTCTTTGAAAAGCAAGGAATGTGAACTCCATTTGCTTTTTTTTCTTAAGGATTTCCAGTTGTAATATAGCTAACTAAGAAACTTACACATATACACATATTACACATGTACATTAGAGAATTTACAAAATGAATCATTCTTAGCTGATTTGTAGAAGCAGAAGACATAAGTAAAAATAACAAATGCTTTCAGCATTTCTCCAGCCAAAAAAGATTTTATCTTTATGAACTGTGGTAGTCAGGCTGTGGTCTTCATAAAACTTAATTCATGAGCTTCTCTCCTCAATATGAAATTTCAGTTACCTTCCCTGCTCAACAAACAGAAAACTTCTCATGGTTTAATTGTGAACAGCTGCAATAGTTGCAGGGTAATTTTTTTTTTTCTTCACTCTTTTCAATGTTAAAAAAAAAATCAACAAAATATTGTTGATTACTGAGCATCTGGTAATCTCTAAGTACCAATATGCATGTTTGCATCATACAACTGAATTTAATTTGATAGTTGCTTTATATTTACCACAACTGGAAAACTGCTGTTCAGTCAAACTTTACAGCAACCTACTTTAAGAACAGCCCCAACAAGGAGAGAAGCAACATACAACCAGTAAGCCCAGCTTATCTAGAGCGTCACATCTGCTGCACTGCTAGCTGTGATACACACGTGGACATAGCTTATTTTCAGAGCCCTTCAGAACTTGGTCTAAGCTAGATCTCTAACTAGACTGCGCAATATTTACAAGCTACCACCAAGTGACTAAGCTCCTTAAGTCCTCCCTGGGCACATTTTCTGCGAAGAAAAGGATGATGTTCAGAGAACCTCAAAGGTAACATTTAGCTCTTTTAACAGTCCTAGGTATTACATACACCAATTTTCACCACTGCTTATTTACAACCTAACCTCAACAAGCATAAAGCATTACAACACATTCCTCTATCTGTTCTTTTCTGATTAACAGAAAAGTTGAGATGTTCTAGGCAAGAAAAACCTGAGGCCAAGTCAGAGCTCAGAAAAATCTAGGTTTTAGCAAGGGGAAAGGGGAAGCGAAATTCACCCCTTCCTTCCCCACCAAGATCACAAAACAATTTAACAGAGATCTAGTTAATTTTTGGTTGGATTTTTGGTTGGTTAGCTTTTTTACCAGTTGATCTTGATTCAGACGTTCTCCCTTGTTCATTCTTTCCTGATAATCATCAAGTTTGCTCTGAAAAGAAAGAAAAAAGCTATTATGAGGAGCTATAAATCAGGTTACTACTTTTTTCTATTTGCGCTAGCAAAATTAGGTACTGTAATACCGCAGTGAACATAGATGGTAACATCACACAAGCATGCAACCGTTATGCAGAAATAGTACCTGAGAAAACTTGTTTTCTGGGTTAAAAAAACATAAAACACTTCCCCAAGTGACAAGTATTTTAATGTTATTCGGCTATCACAATACATCCTCACGACCTGAGGAGACACATATTCCTCCTAACGGGGAGAGCACTCTCAATGCACATTTCCTTCAGTCCAAACAAGAGTTGAACTCAGTTCTGCACCAGAGCTTACCACCATATCACAATACCAAAAACATTAACTGCAAAAAACCACTGTCAATGCTAATAAGATTCAGGATTGTAATTCTTTGTGAAGGTAGCTTTAAAGAATTTAAGAAGTTTCTAATCCTTTGTGCAAGAATGCCCACCAACACAATTGGTATTAATAGCTCTAAAATATTTTTGTTCAAGAGCATTAAGATTTCTTTTTCAAGGGGAGAAACTGAAAGAGGAATGGCTGGGTTAATAAAAAAAAACTGACATTAGCCAAAAGAAGGTAACACTTAACGATGCCGAAGTGACAAAGAACCTACAGATTAAGTAGAAAGGTTCTTAGAAAGGAAGCAAAGTTTATAAGAATAACATAAGTACTAAGCTCTAAGTTTTCACAATTTCTGTACTATCACATACGCTTGTATTTTTTTTACTGAAATTTGCCTTAAAGAAAGTCATTAAAACAAATACTTAACAATATCTTCCCAATCTAGCAAACATGAAAAGGAAAGCAAACAGAAACACTTCATTTTGAATGTAAAATAATACAAACCCTGATGCAACCACTGTTTCAGGGTTTATACTTGCCACAGAGTGACAATTTTTTTTTTTGGTGGTGGTCTTTGGGTTTTTTTACTATTTTTGTTCAGGACATTTCAGTTAAAATATTTTACCAATGTTTTTCTAGCTAATTCAACTTCTGTGCTCAATCTCAGACCTTTTGGAAAGATCAAAGTCTGTGAAACAGTTCAACGAGAAAGCTCCTCTTACAAAGTATTTGATGCCCATACTGAAACACACAGCCACCCTTATGAGACTTGGTCCTTTTGATGTCACCTAGCACCAACAGTTTATTTCTTTGGAAGTCCTACAGGTTAGATTTAACACTTAACTACTTCATCTTTCAAAGCATTAGAGGCAGCAAAGGTAGGTAAAGCCAAAGTAGTAAGATACTTCGTGAATGCCAAAATATGTTACTGGGAATTTCATGCTGGGGACAGACATTGGCAGAGTAATAGTTGTCAACTGGAGCAGCCACAGTTGGTAGTATATCAAAAAAAATACCCCTGAAGAGCATTTGGTATATTGGAAATCTATGACAACAGGAAATAAAGTCATTTTACTCTTATACGTACTAATTTTAGAATAGATGATGACATGGTTGGACAATCACAAAAGTAGTTTTCATGATTTAAGAGATGGTAGCTGAGCTATGAAGTAAAAAGGGAGGGTAAAGAGCTCAAACATTGCAGTGCCCAATGCAAAGCCAGCCAGGTTAACCCACGCCTCTGCTGCTTAAGGTAGCTTAAATCCTACAACAAACTGGCTTTGCAGACAAAAGAAATTTTTAAAAGTTCCTGCTTGCTCAAACCACTTACTCCCATGCTGCAGATTACAATTCCCTTGGTCACACTGATGCAATCGTTTGTGAGGCTTCACAGTAAATAGACTGCTAATAAGAGCCAGTTTAAACAGTGTCTACAAAAAAGCATTCCAAAAACTCCAATAATTTCTGTGATCCAGTCTCCAACACAAATCCATGAACAACAACAGTAAAACAAACAGGATAGAACATAAAACTCTAGGAGAGCACTACTTAGATCAACTTTGTTGAAGAAAGCGTGTTTTGCAAAATTATGCTGCAAAACATCCACATAATCCATTTTGGTGGCTAAGGGCATAAGGGAGGGAAGTGACAAAAATACCCTAAATAACTGCAATTGTTCCTGCATAGTTTTTCCATGCAGCCTTACTTCAGCATGGTTGGTATCTTCAGATTAAGCATATTGCAATAACATATTCAAACAGTGGTTACATTTTTCTTAAATGGTCAAGTATTCTTAAGGTCTAATGCAAATGCTTTGTACATTTTCATTCAGCAATGCGTCAAATAAAAAACACAGGGTAATATGTCTACATCTAACCATGAGAAATTATTCCTCTTCACTTTTTCTTCCTTAAAAACCTCCATATCAGAAAGGTAAAAGCAAAAGAAGGAAAGCCCTTTCAGCTGCAATGCAGAGGACAAGCAAATATATATTTATGTATTATCACAAAGATTTCAAATGCCAAGTTAAGTGTTTTTCTATCATCTCAAAGACACTGTAAAATCCAGATGTTGCATTACACAGTAATATTAAGGAAGCAAAATGCTTTCTTTTTAATCTGTATTGTCAACTAACAGCAACCTAAGAGCAGCCTTAGTGCTGTGAAATAACTGCAGTAAAATTCCTGCTTAACAACCTACTGCAGTGTCTGCAAGAAGTAAAGATTTTTTTAATTTTACCCCCCTTACACAACTTCATCCTCACTCATCATGGATATACATCTTGAAGCATAAAAGCTAAACCAGCAGGAAAAAAAAAATCAAGTGGCAAAACAAGTACATAAATTGTCTATTAAACAGCTCATGAGTCAGCAGCCCCCAGTTCTGCAGATAGCAAGCCACCACGCTTCAGCTCTTCGACCACTGAGATACCTCAAGTATTTTCGAGTTCCCTAAGAGAAGAGCACTACAGAGAGGCTACGGGGGGGTGGCACACAGGCAAAGTGGTAGTGTTCATTGCTAGTTATGCCCTAGATTTTATTTAATAGGAATCCAAAATTGAGTTACTTTATTATGGTAACAGATACCTTTCCCTCACACTCAGGTTCTCATTACCATCTCTGAATTGCCTCAAAAATGTTATCCTAAAGCGGTGGGGAAAAAAAAAAAAATGCAGTTACATTACATTAGCTTCAAAACCAATACTGATTTTAAAAGTGCCTGACCACTCAGCTGTGCTGTTATAGCATACCGCTGTAAATGACTGTAAACTGGATCACTGGAATGATCTGATTAAAAATAACCCTTAAAAAAGGGGGCCAGGAGCAAGAAGGAGGCACTATATTTAACCAGGTAATTTCAATGGTATGGTTTATACCAGTAACAGCGGCACAAGTGTATATGACAAGGTGGAAGGGAAGATGGTAACCTCTTCAACCAGCTGAAGTAAACATTTTGTAATGCACGCTTCACTACAAGCAAAGCAAAGATGGAGGGGACTACTGCAAGTCTGTTTTCCAAGATAATTTCAAAATGGCATGTATTTTTTGAACAGCATTAAGCAATTAAGATAATCCAAAATTTAAAATAGCTGTCATACGTTTCTCAGTGAAGCAAAAGAAAAGCCAAGCTATGCAACAGAAGTTTATTAACTTGTTTTAATTTGTACAGTGTATTTATATGCCCTTCACCATCATTTCCACACTCATTCATCAGTTTAACTTCTCAAAGACTGCCCAGAAACGACTAAAAAAAAAAAATACATCAGTCCTCCCATTTCCTCAGAAAAATGGGCAGAAAAAGAATCAAAAAGGTAAAACATTTAAACTGTATCAGAAATGAAACATGGAAGTTCAGAACCTCTCAAAAAAACCCACAGTTCTCACGTTTACTACCTGGTATGCTTCCTATTGTAGATACACACACCTAACAGAAGTCCCAAGAAGCTGTTTCAGTCCTAAGTTATAATCAAGAAGATGTAACAAAGCATTAACATCAATACTCCACAACACATGTACAGCTTTTCTGTTTAAACTGAATTAATTGTTGAAATAACAGTTGTAAATATTCTTGTGGGGTTTTTTTCCCCAAAAGCCTGGTAAGTTTGACAGTTTAGAAAAAAATATCTGTATTGGTTTTTAAGTGAGTGATAAAAAGACATACCAATTCTGAGACTGCAGCCTCATGATCAGCTTACCCCAGAGGACACCGATCACAGAAGGGGTATTCTGCTCACCACATGTTCTTGACCCTTCCCACACGCCAACAAGGACAGCCATACAGCCAGACTGACAGCTGGGTCAGGAGCCTGATCCAATGAGACAGACACAGCCATAGAGACGGGAGAATGACTCAGAGCAGGACGCATTCCCAAAGAAATGCAGAACTGATGGATATGTGCAATCTTCAAAATATAAACCTTTTCAATTCAGATGAGTTGACTACAGAGAAAAAACCTTGCTTCTTCAGTAACCTGAACTAAGTTGAGTGAGATGAGTGAAACCTCTCAAAGTTTTGGTGGCTGGATATAAATGTCCTCCTCTTTCTAAATCGCCATACGGTATTTCCTATAGAAACAGTATGAATCTACAGGTAAGCTGACCACACCTAGATTTTGATCTACACATCACTTATGTTCAAAACAAGTTACTTTTACAAGTGAATTCTAGAAGGCAAATTGGGTTCTAGAACACAAACTGGGCTCTCCCAACATATTATGTCTATCTCTCTCTTCTGAAAGAAAGGGAAAAGCATCAACAAAACATCAAAGTAGCATCTGAAAAATTTAAATAACTGTAAGATCTTTCACAGCTTGTAGGACTGATCATTTTTCTAGTTAACAGAACTTGCTATGAGAAATAATCCCTATGCTACATAAAACCAAAACAAAGCCAGCTGAAACCAGAAAGTACCAAACACCAAATAATTTCACAGAGGAACCTGCTTGGTTTTTAAGAGATGAAGCCTGCTTATTCAAAGCTGCTATCAGAAGAGGTTTCAAAGAAAGATTCAGGCTTGCAATACACAGTTTCAAACGAATTTTACAATTTCTTGGTTTCAAAGTCACATTTAATCTCCAAAGATGAATTTGAAATCAAGCTTCACAAGGAGAGCTTCTGGAAAGACACAAGCCTTGAACATCCAAGTGGCCCAAATAATCGCGCAAAAACACTTAAGAGTGCTCCTACTGATGGGCAACTTGATGCATGGCACTTCCCTGGTATCAGTAGCTGCATCTACAAGAACAGAAAACTGATCTCAGCTTTTACTATAGGTTCGTAACCGTTTCCTACAGGGAAATCCAACATTTTATTGAACCAAGTCAGATGAACTTCAAATATCCATCTACTGTTCCAGTGAAAATTCCTGTGCAATAATGACAGAGGCACTTTTAACACATTCATTTTTCAACCCAGTCAGGACTACACTTATTGGGAAATTTTAAGATAGGCTGATAAAGCAACAGCATCTTTAGTTACCAGCTACAGCTCAAATGTGCCATCTTTTTAACTGTATACACCAATCTCAAGTCATGTCAAGTAGTTTAAGCTAACATGCTTACTCCATATTTACAGTTGGCCAAGAACAATCATCTTAGCGATCACTTGCCCATACCTTAACCACATTAGCAAATGAGAGATTTTGTCCCCCTTACAGAACATTCAGGTTTTAAAACTGTTTCTACATAGCTCGTGCTATATTACACAAGTTGAAAGCAAAAATAACTTTGTTTCTTTCATTTGTCATTGTATCAAGACACGAGTTTGATCTCCATTCACTTGGCTTAATTTGGAAAGGTTTTTTCCTCTAAAAAAAAAAAAAACACAGGAGGGGCAGGCAGAAGGTGAAAATGCAGGTCTTACTGAAGTAGTTTCTCCTAGGGAACTTAGAGAGCTAGTAAGATTCTAACCTCAGACACCTAGAAGAGTTCATGCAACTTTTAAATTAACTAAGCTTGTCAACATATACTCAAGTTGCATGTCTGAAGGTCTTGTAGAGAAAATACCCCTTCAATTACTGTCTCCCATGCACGCACAAGTATCTAGTCATCTAAGAACAGGGGAAGAAAACAGGATAGCATTCCTATCATTTCCAAATATAAAGAGATGAAGAGAGAACAGGTATTTTCAGGCCATGTTTTCACATAAATTCATGAACAGCAGTTCAGTTGATCCTAGTCCCTCTTAACACAAGCAATACTCTTTTTTTTTTTTCCAAACAACGAGGTCACTTTCAAGAAGAGAAAATGAAAGCATGACAAATGATCTAGTATAGACAGAAACAGTCAAAATATTATAGAACCAAGTTAGAAATACTATGATTTGATATTGTGTACCGTATTCTGATGGTCACATCATTTTATATTTAGAGGGAAACATGACACTAAATAATTTACTTCATAATTTCTAATTTCTTCATAAAGAGTGACCTTTCCTCAATTAGAAGTCGCACATACCATTTAAATCCCAAGATCTTACAGAGGAATTATTTTTGATCCTTTGAAAGCACGTGTCTAAATCAAGACTTTTTTTTGTATTTGTTCTCCAATACAAAGCTCTCAAAATCATCCCTACTGGCCTTCATTATCAGCTGCTGACAAAGAAGGGGTTACATGTTCAACTAAGCAGAAGTTTTTGGTGAGACTTACTGGATTTTTCACCCACTCCTGTCTGTGCAGTATCCGGTATGATTTTACTTTTTGGATGGTTAGGAAAAAAAAAATCAACAGAAGATTCAAAATAAAGGAAAATCAATGAATTTGATTACTTAAGGAAACTTATCAAGTAATAAAATAAAAATGCCGATGTCCATGTGTACAATAAGCTTTGTTTTCAGGACCCTAGGCACATAATGTTCTCTTTATTAAAGAATGTTGATTAACTAAAAAACTGTTGATTCCCCCACCAAGGGAGAGGCTCAAGCCCACAAATCAGTAATTCTGCTTTAATACACCAAGAAAAATTCATTAATTACTTTTATGGTCTTTACGTGAGATTCCTAAGTCAGTAACTTTCAGAACTTCTTCAGCCCGTTAAGACTGAGAAATCTTTGAACTTTAATTCATTGGTGTGAGAGCACACCTAGCTTTTCTTTTTCAAGACCTAGTCTTTGCCTTTTCTTTTTTAAGCCCACACTGCCTAGCACTGAGTACCCCAAAACAAGATGCTCTAAGTAATTTTAATAGAAGATCTTCCAACAGAAGCCATTTCCAGAAAAAGGCACTTCATCCCTTGTATTCACTCGCTATGGCACCATAGTTACAAAAAGTTGCAAGAGCAGCCACAGATACACAAAAAAAAAAAAACCAAACCAAAACACTAAGGCCTCCATGAGACCAGCAACACAGATTTTCACTCTATTCTGCCAGAATAATCACCTCCCACATATCCTTCTAACTTAAGATACTATGAAAGTTGACCAAAAGTCTATTCAAATAGAATGGAATGGCTAAACCAGGTGTAAATTATTTATTTTAAAAGGTAAATAAAAACACTACCAGAAAGGAAAGCTGACCTGCACACCAATATAAGCATAATTCTCTTTATTACTCCAAAGTATAGGCCAGAAGAATTTTCATCTGCTAATTTTAGTTTTTAAAATACACATTTTGAACATCATAGAAAAATATTTTTAGAGTATTTTTTCTATGTTAGATACAATAATTGTTTCAAACCATTTTATTTTATTGAAACAACTAAAGATATACAGAAAGATCTTGAGTTGAGGACCCGCATTGTTGTGTGCGCGCACATTCAGATGTATTAACGTCAAGTTTAAGACACACATCTTGTCCTATCTATACACAATAGCATTCAGACAAGGATCAAGAAACGATCCTCAGATTTTAAAACTTATTTAAAAGCTCCTGGATGGCTGCTTTCTGTTGTTTCATTTTTAAAAATATCAGGAAAAACCAACACCCATTTTTTACGTGGGAAACTACACTTTGCACATGTTTACAGGTAAAGCATGGCTTGTTTCTTTTGCAACTCACCTGTACAGACTAATTTACTGCTAATATTTCCATCTTCTGCAAATATGGAATACTAGATTACTACAATCCAAAGTGCTAGTTAAAAAAACTAATAGAAAAGTAATCATGCTTATTTACTTCTAAGAGCAAAAACAGATTCAAAGCTTCAAGGCAGACATAAAATTATTTTTTAGTATTCCCTAATTTTAAGCTTAGTAATGTAGTGTTTGAAGCAAGTCTTTAGGCTACATGTCTCTTAGTATTTTTCTGATGGACACCTCATGATCTGTAGGTTAGAAAATCCCCCGAGGCTCATTTAATCTAGCAACACCAAGCACTGAGTGGGTGCCACACAAACCGTAAGTAACCACGACACCCTCTTCTCTTCTGTCACAACTCGAACCCTCCAAGGACCACGGATTTAGTAGCTGCTATTTCTAAAAATAACTCCTTAAAGGCCGTTTCCAGCTGACCTAAGACTCCCAAAGGGGTGAGCTTAAGGCAATGAAAAACGAGCGATGAAAAACCCCTGGGTGGGGTGGCCGGCGGCCCCCGGCTTTGTGCAGGCTGCTC